TGTAAGTGAAAGTATGTATTTGACGCTTTTATTAGCAGATGAATTGGTACGATGATTTGGTTAGCACTGTAATGCGACTATAACAATTCAGTGTTAAGTCTTCTGGGAAGTCACGAATTTCCAAATTAGGTGTCTTTTGGCATTGAAAATAGAATACTAATTTGGGTTTCATACAAGTTCAAAAGCATCAAGAAGGATCAAACAAGATCTTCAGAACTTAATATTTTAATACCTTCGCAGTTTTTATTCTTATGGCGCCTCACTCGATATTATCCTTGTTGCGATCCATTTACTCCCTTGCGTGTCTGCACGTTCTGGTATGTTATGCTCAGGTCCACTGAATATTTAAAGGCGAGGTAAAAGTTCCGTGAAGCTGCCCCCTACACACATCACAAACGATGAAACCCACCTCAATCGTTACTGCTACGTTTGTGCCGGTTTGTGCCGTTGAAAGTAGCGTTTGTGCTGCTTTCGTTCTCGAGATATAGCGCCTTGTTTTTCCGGTGATCACGGGACCATGCGCGGTGACTTTGACCTCCAGTGACCCGGTCTGCCGAGTTCTGTTACAGTTTAGCTCGAACCCTTAACATTTCAAAGACTATATCCATAAACATAGGAGCCTCCTTAGAAGTGAATAATATAACAAGTTAACCATCTATGACATAAACCTGTGGTTGTAATGCATGTAAAATCACCGTGGTGGTGAGATCTATGGTTTTTATTTTCTGATATAATTTTTTTCCTTTTCTTTCCCTACCGTGACACGCTGTTGCCAAACGTGTAACTGTGGGATACCATCGGACAAGACCTCCGCAGCATGTCATGATAGGGACCTCATGTATATCGCATGTATATCGGCAGTGTATATCACGAATGGCGCCTTGCTTCCATGCCACCCTGGCACCGCTGTCGCAACCAAGGTCTCATATCAGGACAATGATATACCCAGATAGGATGAGTCGCGATATATGAACTTTGTGTTGCAAAATGGGGTCAGCATATCGTGTCAGGGTATGTCCTATCGCAACATATGGACTGCATGTCGCGACATGGGGGCGGGGCATTTTTGCCGTATTTCATATCGCGATATATGGACTTAATGTCGTAACAGATAGTGGCACCATGACCGTGATGCCCCAGTCGAAATGGGTAAATACATATTTTATTTGCAATATAACTGTCTCCCCTGCTTTCTGTAATGAAAACATGGTATTTGAACAATTGTAATCGTATATTTAAGGTAGGGGAAACACCTTCTGCTTTGAACTTCAAAAATGAATAGAAATATAAAGTCGATGATCACTATATTATTATGCATGTGCTCTGAATTTAGTTTTTTATTGTTACATTTTATCGATCTTGAAACTAATACCTAAGAATGTGAATATGGGCTCTCGTGTTGTGTCAGCGGTAATGTGGAAACTGGTGTCTTTTCACCAATGAAAGGAGTACACAAGCAATACGTTTTCGAGAACATGGTTAAAAATTAAAAGAAAACACCTAACCCAATGAACTCACATAGTAACTCCTCCCTAAATGTTAGACTGTCTATTCGTGTAAAGGCTGAAAAGTCTGGGGTCAACTGATCAAAAGATCTGGTGTTCGTGACTTTGCTGTTTTGTACGTCATAGTGACGGCACAGCCAGGAAAAGAAGGCGCAACTCTTCTGATCAGGGTGTGATATTCGTGACAAATTTAATTTTCCTGCTCACACAAACGCACAGAAGACACCGATAATAAATGCAAAATCCGCCGCCGCCGCCCGCCACCCGGGCAAACAGAAGAACACAACTGCAGAACTATTACTCTCGCACCGGTAACAGACGCGTGAAATCGGCACTGGAGGTCATGGAACCGCTCATGGTCCCGTGATCACCGGGAAAACAAGGCGCTATATCTCGGGAACAAAAGCAGCACAAACGAATGAGGGGGGTTTCATCGTTTGTGCTGACGGTAGGGGTCCAACGTCAACGAGCTTCAACGAGCTATTGGCCTGCAGTGTGTTCAGTAGCTCAGTGTGTGTGTGTGAGTGCAGGGCTGTGCTGTGTCCAGTAGCTCAGCAGTAAGTATCTGGTGGTCTTTCGTGCTCTGGCAGTACTCTGATGTGTTTCACCCAGCTGGATACTGTGCATGAAATCCCTGCAGATGCTTCAAGCACTTCATTCACAGCACGGGGGTGCTCCGAGCGCACTGACTCGGCGGGACTGGACTGCCGCTGGTGAACGCGCAGTCCAGTCGATGTGTTCTGCGGTATCGTGCCACAGCTCCTGCTGGACTCTCAACATGCTCCTGCAGCCCAACAGCAAGAAGCTCTCGTGTCAGAATGATGAAAGCGCTCCATAATTCTGCTGTCTCGTCTCTGTGTGCGGCAGGTGTCTGCTGGGGTCCCGGGACAGGCCTGTGGAGCGAGCGTGCGCTATGGACTCCAGTCTGGGGGCCCTGCCTCGGCTCGTGTGCCTCAGTCTGAGCCTGGCCTCCATCCTCGGCTGCTCATGTAAGAGGGGCAGTGGGAGGGGGGGTCTCGCTGTCCGTCGCCGGAGGGTCCACTGTGATCGCTGTGATTGCCCAGAGCCCCCACACAGAGTGTGTGAGTGTGAGTGTGAGTGTGAGTGTGAGTGTGAGTGTGAGTGTGAGTGTGAGTCTCCGTCTCCGGTTGCTCTGACCGCAGCCCCGCCTGTCTCCTGCCCAGGTGCCCGGCTGTCGTTCCGAGAGGAGCCCGTCTCTGCCACCCAGCGGCCGGGGGGGCCCGTGCTCCTGCGCTGCTCGGCCCAGCCCGAAGAGGCGCGGGTGTCCTGGCTGTGGGAGGGACGCCCGCTGGACCCCGCGGCCCTGCCCCCCGAGCTGGAGCTGAGGCCCGGCGCGCTCGCCATCCGCGCTCTGCACCCGCCACACACTGGCCGCTACTTCTGCGTTGCCCAGCTCGGGAGCAGGGCCATCGCCAGCCGGAACGCCCACATCACCATCGCAGGTACAGGCAGCCCACACGCGCCAAGTGCCACGCACACACCCTGCCCACTCCTGCTGCGGTACACACGCGCACACACGCG